ATCTATATCCAGAAATTAATAATAAGGTGCCTATAAGTTATAATTATAGGTATTCTATAGATCCAGGATTTTCCAACAATGATGAATCCTCTCATGGGATTGGTACAACAACATGGGCTAACGGGGCCCATGTGTCCAATCCAGGATTCAGGAAATATCCTCTCATGGGATCTATATCCAGAAAATTAGATCTAGATATCATGCGGACCCAGGAATTTCCTGATCCGATATCCTCTCATGGGATCCAGGTATATGATCAGCTACTCATCATGTCTGGATCCAGGATTGTCAGAAATATCCTCTCATTAGGGTCCGTTTTTTGATAATGGGAAATCTCATCCAGCCGTTGGGACCAGGGGCGACCGTTTCGCTCCTGGGGGGATATATTGGCAGTAATCCTGGGACAAGGGGTGACAGTTCACTCCTAGTGGATAACGTCAGTAATCCGTGAGATTTCCATAGCTTATATATGTGTAGTATGATATAGCCCCCAAGGCCAAACCTAAATGTAGATCATCATGAAATGTATATATTTGTGTATTGTTTATTTCTTCTGTTATATGTATAAACATGTGTATGCTGATTTACAAGACATACAACAATGTTGGTCATGATAACATTGCATACCTCTACAGTTAATAAATAGCATTTATTAAACTGTACCATATTGTTCTGGTTGTTTATAAATCACAGAATGATAATTTTGCTCTTCACATTTCATTACTACATATATTGTTTATTTATATTCACTTTAATAATGATATAATAAATAATAATTAGAGGTTCTTATATACTGCTTGATCACAAACTAGTTTGTAGGTCGTCTCAAAGTGGTTCACAAATTATTATCCGTGGTTATAGGGCTTTTGCAACCAGCCAATATATTTCTCAACTCCCTCGGGAGCATACAGCTGCACCCTGCCATTTCGGCGCTCACAGCTAGCATTCTACAATTCTAGCACTGCCCAACCACGTACTCATTTACAGCTGAGTAGACTGGAACAAGCGGAGTAAAGCATCTTGCTCAAAGATATAACACAGTACCGTGCTGTGACTCGAACCCGCAACTCTTCGGTCACGAGCCCAGCGTCTTACCACTAGACTACCGTGCCTCCTTAATCCCCCTCATCATCGAGGCGAAAAAAAGGGTGAAAATTGAACTGCAACAAGAATTCCCCAGTAAACAGTAACTTAGATTGAACTATGGTCTTTACAAAGCATTCTTCAATTGTTATGTATAAGATATTCTTTCAGCATGGTTTACCTACCATATTTAAAGACCAGCCGATTTAAAAACTTCAAACATACCAATCAAACATGTCTCCATTGTAAGTCACAAAGATGTGTGGTCTCACGTCCAGTATGTGGTCAAAAAATCGCCGCAGCAAGGTCATCTGGAGGGGGAGACAAAGGATGATAAATTAATCCATGGAATTTACATTCCCTTCTTGCCTGACATGTTATGTCTGTTGGAGTGTTCTCTTAGTTCCAACCTACTTAATAACAATAGACAGGTGTTGTTTTATGACATGATCGCAAGTCAAGTATATATTGTTTCATAAAGCGACATTTTGACCAGAGATTTACCTGTGTTTCATGCAACACATTTTCTTAAGATTTCTTTTGCTATATTTGGTCGAAATCAACCATTAATGGCTCATTTTTACTCGAAGCATCTTACTTTACTTAAGCATATAAAAGTGTCTCCTTATATTTCGGGGAAAAAAAAGGAAACTAATTACAGATGGTGAAATATGAACGTAATTACAGATGGTGAAATATTCTAGAATCAGTGCTAAGAAGTACCAAGCTATATTTTTGTATTATCTGATTAATTAGAAAAATAATAATAAAAAATATGTATATATATATATATGGACGCAATGGAACATAGGTAACACTAAATGTACCCCCCAACCCCTTAATAAAATGGTGGGACATAATTGAAATATTTGTCTTATTGGCCTGCCACTTTTTTTATCACGCAAGTAAAACTGACCTCATCAGGTTCGTTAAATATGATGAAAGGACCCTCAAACTCTGGCCGTGGTGTGTACTCAAAGTCCTCGACATCCTGGGCGACGATCTCTCTATTAGTAATTAGGTAACCCTAAAACGAAAAGTTAGCAAGAAAAAGACTTTAGATATATAATTAACTTCTCTTTTTCTGTGACACTGACAACATATGTTATCACTAGCTCTCTAGTCCCCTGGACCAGGTGATTTCTCCAGGTTTGAAAAAAGGANCCCCCCCCGAGAAAACTCTGCAGCACCATAGGTGGCAATGAAACAATGTTTCAATACTTCAAGGGGTTCAAGCTAAACACAAAATTGATACAAGAAGACTTACAGAATCTTTGTACAAAGTCTTCAAAAAGTTCAGTAATTAATAATTGGAATCGTTCATAATAGAACGCTTTGAATAATTTAAGATATTTTACGCATACAGGCATTCAAAGATCCTAAAACCAAGAGTATTATTATTCAGAGATCGCCCTTACGCCGTCCCTACATGTTTTTGACAAATTGAAATCGTCTGGGACACAATTTTGTCGACTGCATCGCATCACCAGGATGCAGATATTTTATTGTCTACATGCCTTTAAAATCAGTCCGATATAATTCAAGGTCATTCATTTGAACAAACTTGGTAGCCCTTCATCGCAGCATGTTACTGGCCAAATATCATCAGCCTAGGCCTCTTGGTTATTCAGAAGAAGTCGTTAATAAATTTAACATATTTGACCCCTGTGACCTTGAAAATGGATGCAGGTCATTCATTTGAACAAACTTGGTAGCCCTTCATAGCAAAGTAAAAAGTTGAAGCTGTACAGACGGACTACGGACGCCGCACCATGGCACAAGCAGAAAATTACATATAGTTCAAATACTTTAGACTCAAAGAAGGTGCACATCAAATATATTTTCCAAATTAGCAATAATTTTTGAAAATGATTTCCAAAGAGAAAGCGTCACATGGTACGTAAACTAATAAAGTTATGTTTTCGAAATTATTTGTAAACTTAACCTGTTCGTGCAACCATAATCAACGGTCATCAATAAAGCCGAAATACAGTTGAATTGACATGAAAGTATTATGTAGTGAAAACGGAATGCATAACAATACTTCTTTTCATCGCATGTCTATTTCCTGGCCCATTTTCCTACAAGTGTCCCCCCCGTTTAGGATACACTGGCGTTACAATACTGACCTGGCCGTCAATCATGTAGGATATCATCATCACCTGGTCGGTGGCAGAGTCGGGAAACTTGAGTGGGAGTTTAGTCGTCTCAATGTCAAACGCCATGATGACAGGATCCTGTAAAACAGACTTTGGATGATCACACAACAAAACCCAATCCAAGTCATCAATAAAAGATTCTAAAAGGACTTGGGGCGTTATGGGTCATTTTTGGCCTCATAAAAAGTAAAAATTTGAACTTGAATTTATTTACCAATTTCTGTTTTAAACATCAGATTGGTTGATTCGGGCCATCATTCTTTGTGCAGATTTTTTCCAATGCGCATGCTAAGACGCCCTACCAAAGCAACGCAATACAATTGCGTTGCTATGCAGAATTAGCCAAAATATGTTTTTTATGGACAGTTTACATGCAGAAAAGAAAGTATCAGCACGTGACAAACAAAAATTCCTTTCTACGAATTAACACTGGTATGACAATGTTTAAGCATGTCAAATATTAAATTGTTAGTTGCATGCAGAGGTTTTCAAAAAGTGAGGAGTGTTTAGTTAATTTTCTTCAAAATGACCAATTTTCAACCAAATAGCGCACCACGGACGATATTCACACATTTATTAGGAAAATTGGGGTTTATGTCTCTTTTTGTAAAGCCATATCTCCTTAACCAGTTGTTGAATGAATTTGAAATATAATTAATTCTAAATCCCTGATGAGTCCTAAGAATTTTTTGTGTTTGCAATAGCTATAAGTATTTTATTTTATAACCCTTTGAATTCATTCTTCTTTTTACATTTTACATTTTAGAATTTGTTAAACCCTTTCACCGCTATGTAACTTAAGTAGACTCTACTGTGCATTGAACTGGAGTATTCCATTAAGGTCTGCAGGGGTGAAAGGGTTAAGATATCATAATTATATTGCATTAGAACCTAAGTTAGATTCTGTGTTGAACTTAAGCTTATGTGGAAAAACATCAATCTGTTTCATTTAGTAATAGTGAAAAATCGTGTGTTTTAAACAAATCAACAGAGATTTTAAAGAAAATGAAATGTAATTGCATTTTAAGTTTCAAAAATGTTAAATCTATGCCATGAAGCTATGGTCAAAAATCGTGTTTTAATTAAATCAATAAAGGTTTTAAAAGTAAAAGACATGTAGTTGAAATTGAAGTATCAAAAATTACTATAGTCTATTCCATAAAGTTTTGGTGAAAAATCTTTTATTTTAAACAAATTGACCCAGATGAAATGAGAATAGAAATGATGAGTAACAACACCACTGAATCCGGTACAAAATGTAATGTTTTAATTACATCCTATATGCTTTCCCTGATGAGCACTGTTGAATACGATCAAGGTATCCACCCCAGGATCACTACCGCCACTATCGAACTTACTTCCTTGCAGGGACGTTGGGTCTCCACCCCCAAGTTGTTATAAATTGACTGAGGTTATAATTAAAGTCAAAGAAAGTTGTTTGAAATTAAACTTTCATTAGGTCTATTCCATTGAGATTACCGTGAAAAATCCCGAGATTAAACAAACCAACTAAGGTTTTAAAATAAATAATGTCATGTCAGAACTACATCTTACCATAACATGACAAATTTAACATTTCAATCAAACAATCTATGTACATACCGGCCTGTCCACCAAGTCTTCTCGAGGTCGAATCTCCACAGGTAGAGAGCCACGCCCACGGACCGAGTACCAGTGACCTACATTTATCTTCAGGTCGATTGACACCCTCACGTGGTATGGTACATCGTATTCTCTGTTTAACACACAATGATTTGAATTACCTCCCTTTAATAGCTTTAGAAAAATCATCAACGTATCAACTCAATGTCGACAAAAACCAACACTAGTTTACTCTTTATTAAGAACGATAGTTTTTTGGCCTTTTTAAGATCATTTCTTTACAAAATATCAACAAAAGAACGTTCTTAATTATCAAATATTATTTCATTTCAGATATTGGATATTTTATTGTCATCTGAAAACAAGACAGAAATATTAAATGAAAACGAACAAAAATGGTCTGTAAAACATTAATGCTCCCTTTGGCTCTATGCTTGACCTATAAATAGCAATAGTGACCTTGGCAATGACCTTAAGACCCTGATATCGGTAGAGTCATGACAATGAATGGCAACTGGACAGTACAGACATGTGTAATACTAATATCATCTTTCGTAATTAGGAAACATTGAATGGAGTTTAGGAAAAAAGAGCACCATTTTCCCATTTGGAATGCTGAAATTCAGCCATTACCTAAGAAACAGCCTTCAATTGTGAAGATTGTTTTTGGATTTTGACAGATAAAAGTCTCGTGGAATTAGACAGTCTCTCACTATATCGAGTCATAGTAAGTATGTACACCATTTAAAACAAAACATACCTGATGTCCAGCAAGTTGTCCATCTGGTCAACCATCTTTTTGGAATTGGCGGCATTGTTGTCGCCAGTCAAGTAGCTGTAGGAAAACAATTACAATCCATCAACTAATCATCGGTATTTTACTTCAATTTTACTGCGTCAAAATTTTAACTTTTTTAATTTTGAATACTTTCCCCCCCGATATTATTTTCAAAAATACCGTTTTTGTTTACAATGATGGTTGATATTTACATAACCACTTGAAATTCGCATAAATATCCTGGTAGGTAAAATTTGAATATTAAGACAATTTGTTCAAAACCTTTTCTCATTGAAACTATGATTAAAAAAAAATCATGCCACAGGATAATTCATCTTTTAGCAGGGCTAGACGATAAAGGTAGGCTGCTAGTCAGAGACTAGTGAAATCTCCAGCTAGACTAGTGGTTCTAGATTTAAGATATTACTTGTACAACAAGAGGCCCAATGGGCCTGCATCACAGCCCGCTTGTCTGAGACTAGTGAGAAATCTCCAGCTGGACTACTAGGCCGTTTTCGTTTATCGCGTTCCAAACGGTTGAACCGGTTGTTTGTTTATGAAATAAGGTCGGACTTAGTAATCTGGTACATTTATCAGGCGAGCCTTGACACAGCTTTGCAAGGCCTGCATAAACTTTTGCAGGTCCACCAGGATTTCTACCCAAAAATGTTATGTTTAAAAACAGATTTACCGGTTGTTCCGCATAAACGTACAGCCCCGTTTCTCACCTGTAGAACTTTGTCTACGCCTCACCTCGATAATATAGTCCTAATTGTGTTACCTGGAGAACATGGCTGTGTAGGCTTCGCTGGACTTCTCGCGCTCCTTATTCTTTGTGACGGCGGGGTTGATCTCCCGCTTGACCTTGGTCAAGTCCTCCACAGAGAGGAAGGACAGCTTGAGGTAGGTTCTCTTCAAGCCCACTAGATGATTGGCCTAAAAGACATCAGGAATCAAAATCAACACAAATTAACTTGTTAAATGAACGTTTAATTTTACAATGTGAAAGTTAGGAGGTTCCTAATTACATGTAACGTTTGTTTTTCGTGTTGATCTTACTTTGGTTAGTTAATTTTATAAATTTCAGAAAAAGTAAGATATGACAGTGTCTTTTAAATTCTTTAATAATCTAATGAGAGTAAATTAACATGATATCCAATAGTGTCATTCCGATTAATCAATTGAATCGATGATCAGTTTTTTTACCTCCAACTTTTCTATGATCGATCATGGTTTGGCTAATATAATCTTTCCCTACTTTTGGGAGTAAGACAGAAAAGTCCCGATTCAAGGGTTAAGATTTTTCTGTCATACTCCTAAAGTTAGGAATTATTTTTTTGTCCTACATCAAACATAAGTGCTAATTTCATGAAATGCATTTATTATATAATTTTTAGCAGGTCTGAGAACTTTATCTCTGCTATTGTTGACCTGACATCATGGAATTGTTAAAACAGGGGTCTTTATCTTTACCCCAGGGACAGACAGATATCCAACAAGAAGTGTGGACATATATCTATCTAATGGGGGGGGGGGAATATAACATGAAATTTTCCAATATTATAAACAGCTATTGAGATTAGCAGCAGACCTGAAAACTGATTAAACAAACAGTTTACTCATAAATTTTACCTTCAACTGCATCCAAATAACATTTCTACCTATAGCTATACAGGTAGTGAGAATGTAACAACTAAATTTAACAAGTTTTGGTGAGTGCTTCTCTATTTACTTTTGTTTGACTTTACGATTGATCAAGGATCAATGATCACTCCTCCATTGTTTGGGAAATAGTGATGACCGATCACGAAATTTGAAGCGATTTTTTTGCCTAGTTTTGCAGCCAAATTCAGGATGCTTCCCCTGGCTAAAAAGTGCTTTATTTCCCCCAAAATGAAAAAATAGGAATATCTTCCAATTTTCAATACAAAAATAATAATGCTATTTTCCCCCAAAATCACATAGGAACAGGGTGTTGTAAAATTTAGGTTGAAAATCACCGGTTATATGTGCATTAAACTGGTTCAGTACTCTTAATTGTCTGATGCTCCATCGGCACCGACCTTCCGACCCTGAAATATGACCTCATCTGAGGTAAACCCGCTCAACTTTTGTATAAACATTGAGGAAAATAACACTATATCCCCCCTCCCCATACAATGGAGAAGGGTGTACACAAATTTTGACCGAAATTTCATGTTTTGACTGATTTTTTTCTTAGTTTTATATCCGAATACAGGCTGTTTCCCTTAGCGAAAAAGTGCTGTATTTCCCCAAAATTAAGAAAAAATCGAGGAATATTTTCCAAATTTCAATAAAAATAATGCTACATTTTCCCTATTCATGTTGGAACAGACTGTTGTAAAATTTAAGTAGAAAAACACTGTTTAAAATTTGATGTCTGAATCCTAAACAGTGATGTCACGAACCAGATCTAAATCCTCTTTATACACCGTTTCCACTGAGGTAACTTTTCCAGAAAACTTCTTGGTGAGGAATGACGCCACTTCTCGCTCAAACTCCTTCTTGGTGGCCACGAAAAAGTAGGGGCGAAATGGCAAGGTTGCCTACAACAACAAATATTAAAATTTCTGTAGTGCAATCTCCAAGTTATGAAACCAAAACACAAATATCCTATTATACCATTGGGAATCGAAGTGTTTAGATGTTTGCATCACATACAGTTGATGACTACACATTTCTTAATATCCCCAAGAATTTGGCAAAACATATTTGAACAAAGCGTAGCTGAATCGAGTCATTTCGGTACATGCTGTAGAATCATTTATTTTCGTGGGATTAAAATTTCGTGGTTTTCATATACAAGCCTGTTTCAAGGACAATATATTTTGCTGATTTCTGATTTTCCCCTTTCAATATCATACCAAATTTATGTTTTTGTGGAGATTTAATTTCATGGATTTTTGTTATCCATAAAATAAACGAAATTTAATGTCCCACGAAAATTTATGATTTTACAACTTAATGTAAATACGCTTAATTACAGCGTAGCCAAATCAACATCAATTTGTGGACAACTCGTACATATTTTACATCTTTGTGTACATGTATACGCTTCACCGGTCATTTGTCTGATGTAGGTGATATATAAGAGTACATACTGTAATAGTCATCGAAACATCACATGTAAACACTTATTGGTTGTGCTACATGAATATTTTCACAATCCATTCTTACCAACCTGAAGAAAAGGTGTAGAAAAAAATTGAATAATTGAACAAATCTGAATTTTTCCTGGTAGTCATTTTATATTAAAGATAGGTCTTTAAAAGTACAGACGTCCCATAAATTTACTATTCGGACACTGAAAATTAAGAGTTTGTCCTTGAGAATTAAAGAGTATGGCCTCTAAAGATTGACAGTTCACCTGCGTGCCGCCATCACTAGCCAGCAGCAGGTATAGTAAATACCAATTTCAAATTCAAGGTTTCAGATTATATTAACTTTTCACAGAAATGATAACCACAGAAAAATCTGCTTAATGATTATTCCTGCAAAAATGACCATTACACTTTTAAACATATACTCTCAAACGGAAAATCCAATAATGTTTTGCGCTCAAAAGATGTTTTTTAGGCGGTTGTTTTAAACCATTTTACCTTAAATCGTCCACCATCTTCTTCCAAGAAATAGTAGTCCACAGCACTAATGAGTCTCTTGTTTTCATCCAAAATGTCTGCCTATAAAAAATAACGAAATGTGATATTTTCTGGCATCAAAATGTTCATTGGTAAGGCCGAATAAATGTGTTTACTGTTTCGTCTCCAAACAAATAGGGTAGGGTAGGTAGGTAGGAAAAACATTTTTATTTTATTTTTTTATTTTATATATTTTTCTGGTGAAGAAAATCTCCTGATCACCTCCGTGAATGTAAAAAATAGTGATGGACAATCAGTTCAAAATCATTATCGATTTGTAATCGAAAGTAGTAAATTGATCGATGATCGATTGCATAATCGGTTTCTAATCTTTTGGGACTAAATACCCAAATAAAGTTCTTCACTATACATTAGGTTTCATCCTTTTATAATGAATTGATGTCAAGCAACTTTTATGCATTTTTATCAATCATACAGTATAAATCATAACAATCTATGACTTTCTAAGCATCCTTAACATGGAAAACATTTCAATACTTTGATTTCAATGATGAGCCGATTATATTGTTTATGGAAATTTTAATCAATAATCGTAATCAGAAGGGCAAACCGATCAATTTTCCATTATAAGATCGTTCATCAGCCCATCACTAGTAAAAGACAATATTCACATAAATTTCTCAGCTCCTAATACTCATTATGGAGGCATGGTAGTCTAGTGGTAGGACGTCAGGCTCGTGACCCAAGGGTTGCGGGTTCGAGCCACAGCACTGTGTTGTTTCTTTGAGCAAGATATTTTACGCCGCTAGTTCCAGTCTACTCAGCTGTAAATGAGTATGTGGTTGGGCAGTGTTAGAATTATTGAATGCTAGCTTTGAGCGCCGAAATGGCAGCACCGCCAGCTGTATGCCCCCCCCCAGAGAGTTGAGAAAGATTTTGGCTGGTTGCGTAGGCCCTATAACCACGGATAATAATTTGTAAAGACGACCTAGTTTGTGATAAAGCGGTATAGAAGAACCTCAAATTATTATTATTTTATTTTCCAGTACTTACCGGATGCATGTTGATAAGCCATCCTGTCCTCTCCACCGGATCCTTGTATCTTTCAAATCCAAACTTTGTATCAGTTTCATCGTTCAGGGTCGCTCGCTGTAATCTCTTTTCAGAAGAATCTTCTCGATTGGTACTTTTAAATGAGTCAAAAAATGTTAATGTGAATTTACTGTTTGATTATTGACAAAAAAACTGAAATTCTCACCCAATAAATTTGTAACAGGATTGGGTCTGGACCAGGAATCAACCTATGAACTTTAAATTTCAAGTGCTTGGATCGGAGTGCGCTTGGAAGGAGGATACCCAAACTTGGGATAAAAATATAGTGCTATCTTCGGGGCGAAGACTTAGAAAAAGAAAGGAAGAATGTAGCAGAACCAGAATGGTTCGATTGCTGGTTAGAGCGTCCAATAAGAGTTCAAATCCCTGCTGTGCATTTTCCTCTTCTGTTAAGGAACAATTAAGTTATATATTTTATCAACTTGATTTATATATTAGGTGCCAGTGACTTTTTTTGCCAAGTTTTACAGCCGAATACAAGCTGTTTCCCCTAGCTAAAACATACCTTCCCAATTTCAATAAAAATAACGCTATATTTTCTTAATTCATAAAGGAAGAGGCAGTTGAAAAATATAGGTTAAAAAAAACACTGGGTGCTTTAATTTTATCAGTCTGCTCCTTGTCTGAAGCCTTGGAATTCAAGATTTCAGTATCATCTGATGACCTGTTTCTGTGCTGCATCTGTTTCCCTGAGTTTTCCTGTTTCTATGCCCTGACCTTATAGCTTTTATACACTGCTGTGCAATTATATTACTGCAATTTTGTTGACATAATTAAATAATTTGTTTGGGTTGTGATTTCAGCTTAAGTCAGAGAGGATGTTGACAATTATGATGCGAAAAACAAGTTAATTCATATTATTTTATTTAAATAAGATGTTTCATTGTCAGAATTTCAAACTATCCTATCCTTTGGTAAATGTAAGCTCATACCATATATATAAAAAAAACATTTTTTGTACATCAATAATACAGCTGATACATTATGAAAAGTTTCTTGTTATTTGGGTTATTTGTGGTGGTTTTCCCCAACCTGATAAAACATAAAAGGCACAGAAACTGGTCACAAAAAGGCGTTAACAGAATGAGCAAGTTGTCACTGTATAGAAAAGGAAGAGAAGCATACTGAATTTCCATGTAAAATTAGAGAGTAACATTGCTGATAAATAAAGTTAAGCACATAATGTCATTACTTCTAAAGTTTGCTCTAATCAACAGGTCCAGTACACTCTGCCGAGTGAGCTATATAGGTTTAAAGACCTATATAGCTATATACTCCTATAAATTATAGCTGTATTGAGCTATATTTTCCTCAGATTTCAAATTTCATTAAATTAAAGCAAAGTCGCATAAAACAATAAGGTTTATGGTAATGTTGACTACAAAAAGCATACATTTAGATGGTTATTTCCATTTTTCATAAATGTAAAATTTCCGATTTTTTTACATCGTTATTTTTTAAAAAGAATACCCACATTTAATGTCTTTTGTTATCAACTTAATGATACAATCTTCTTTTAAAAGCGACTTTGTTTCGTTTTCCTTAAAAAAGAAAATCAATTGAAAATAGCTCAAAAGACCTATCTCACATAGGTCAATAGAGCTATTATAGGTCTTTACAGCTATATAGCTCAATCGGCAGAGTGTACTGGACCTGATCAAAGCAAAATAAGGCGAATTTTACCTTACGGGTCTCAAAACTAACTCTAATATTGACACGGACAATCAAGTAGTCGATCTTTGCTTAAAGACTTACCCATATCTTTCGGTCTTATCCGATCGATCGGCCTTAAATCTCCCACTGTTCTGTAAGACCATTTTATCTTTTGCTTCCTAATCAAAATATTGCATTTTTGCATCTGAAATATCGTCCCTGTTGTTTTGTGTTTGGCGGGAAATGTTAAGACAGTTTTCAGATTTATTTTTATCGAAACAAATCATTTGTAAGTAAAAAAAATATAAGTAAATCTTAATGACATGTGATATTTTAAATTGATCCATAAAATACTTTTATATATTATTTGATAAAACTGGCACCAAGATAGAGTGATTTATCTTTTATATTAAAATACGTTTCGTTTGATTGTTCTTGTCCAATCGGAACCTCTTTACCCATTCGGAACACCTCGCCCCGATTCCAGTTCCTTCCAACGTATTACCTCTATTTCCTCCTTTGGGTCCCTTAACTACATCCAGAGGGGCCACATTTATTCAAAATTGAGTCCCCTTGGCCCAAAGAAGGCTCCATACTAAATGAGGATAAAATCCCTTCATCCTTATGGTAGAAGAAGAATTTTTAAAGGTTTTACCTCTATTTCCCATATTGGGCCCCCCTATTCTGCCCCCCCCAGACGGATGGACAGACAGACAGACGTTGGACACTGCGGTATGACATAAGCTCACACTGGCCCTTTGGACCAGATGAGCTTAAAACAGATAGATTATCTTAACAACATGAAATTCTATTAATTTGATGCTTAAAATTATGTGTTATTTTCAGTAATTATATTATAAAGACACTGATAATTGAGTAGTTTACCTCAAATCTGCTCTTAACATTGCCATTCACATTTGTCCTCTGGATTAACATCTTCATCTGGTAAAGAGTTCCAGGATCCCTACCACTGCTGGTGTTGAAGAATCTTTTGTAGAGTTTCTTCAAAATTGAAGTTGTGAAAATATATACCTTGATAATTTATATGATAATCTGTTTTGCATGAAAAAAGTAAAGATCTAAATTTTATAAGTATTTAATCCATTTAAAAGTTCAATTGTATCAACATAAATTAAATTTGTAGTAAAAGGAAATCAACATGTTATTATTTCACTTTGGCTTTTACAAATTATACAAAATTTGATTTGACTTTTAAATTTGTATACCTCAATGAAGTCTTGCAGTGTGTGGAACATTTCACAGATAACTGGTTGCAAATGCTCTAATCTTTCTTGAGCAGTATGGGCTCCTGCTCTCAATGTACCTGCACTCTGCAGCCGGACACGAGTCAACTGGTCGCCTCCAACAGGCACAAGCAAATTTTCCAAATCTGCTCCTATGAAAGAGTTTAAATTATCTTTAAATATGTATATATAAAATAATTCATCATATACATGTAGTGAAAATATTGTTCTGATTTTCCTTAACAGATACAAGCATTATTAATAAAGAGGATTACATTTACAATTACCATTTAATCATTTCAAAATATCAAATATGCATAGCTTTACAACTGATAATTATTTATTATCAAACCTAATACTGGTACAAGTGTTCATGAGGAGCTATATGATGATATACAAATTAACAGTTTATACAAGTTAATCTAAAATACAATGCATTTCTAGTTGTTTCAGAGTGTTCATGTACTGATAATAAATTTCACACAATTTTAATGAGAAAAGTTAAAACTAATAAATAAGTTTTACATCCATTTTTTTAACTGATATTCTTGGTTGTAGTATTCCGTATTAAAACCTACCTCTCCCTGCAGTTTGGTACCACTTTGAAATCATTTTCTCATAACAGTCCATAATCTGAATGCAGTCTGAGTTGAATGCCTCATTTTTCAGCTGTATCGGGAGCCAACATATACATGATTTCTGGGCCATAGTGTCCTCTAATGGGTGCTGGATATGATTTGGAATGACTGATCTCATCCACTCGAGCTCATCCACATACTTGACGAGAACTCTTGCCAACACAATTTTCAGTGAGTTCATGTATATTTTTGTCTCCTCCAATGACAGAAGGAAAGTGCTGATATCAATGGCATTAACATCTTGAAGGGGTTTTGTGTTGTCATACTTGTCCAAGTTTATCCGATCTGCTGTCCAATCTGAGGCAAAGTAGTGGATATCTTTATTGGTATGGTCAAGACGGATGTCATTGGCACGTACATAAAGATCCAGGTTGTCGCCATTTATCTTTCCATCTTTACCATCAGAAATGTGCTGGATCAGTTTTTCCTCACAAAAGTCCCCAAACTCTGCCATGATGTTTCTTTTTGTCTCATGAGATAGGGTGATGTGAACTTTGTTCAATCTCTCCAACAACTGATCATGGAATATACATAATCAATTAGTATATACCTTTGAAACTTTGTTTAATGCACAAAGTATAAAACAAGTTTTGATGAAAAAAAAGAGATTTATATATAGAGAGAGATATACTTTGAAAAAGTGAGTCTCAGCCAACTTTTTTGGCATTTTTCTTTTACCTGATATTAATAATACTCAACTTCACAATTTACAAACCATCCTTTACATCAATATTACCAAACTTTTCTGACCACCAGTTAAAACTGACTTTGGAAGTAACAGTTTGTCATGGTGATACATTTAGCATTAACATTTATTTTCAAATAAGAACTACATGTTTTATATAGTCTTCTGGTACAGGGATCCCAAATAAAGTTATATAATGTGATTTATATAGAAGAAATTTTTCACAAATATCAAGTATTGTTGAAAATAAATGTGCAGCATTTCACTTTTCTAACTTGTTTTTTGTATCTGATGAATAAGATAAAGAAAACTTAAGTACTCAAACCTTGCTGTGTCATCTGATCCTTTCTCTTTCACACACTAACTTCATGTAAATATATAAACTGTAAATAAAAATCAGTGAGCATAAACTCTGTCAGTACAAACACTGTTAAGTAATAAAAGTATATTATGTTAGTGGTGTTAGTTATAACATGCTATCTTTATAATGGGTACTTGAAACAGTTTATCATACACTGAAAATTTTCTTGTGTCCACATCTTATTAGAATTATTACAGACTTCACAGTTTCTTATTTTATGTTGATTACCAGGGTGTAGTTAGGTAGAATTGACCCATTTTTCAATCTTCTCCCTTTTTTCTTCAGCAAACCTTCATGGTCCAATGAATTTCTCCTGATATTACTGTGTAAACCCATTAATCACTTTTACAATAAATACATTTATAATAATTTATCTGTTTACTGATAATTTTTCACTGAAAATATTGTGAATTCTCCCAAAGAAAGCATCTGGTCATATCTGTGTTGTTACAGCATTCAATTTAAAGGGAGATGGATAATCTGTGTTCAAAATTCATACTTAAATTAACTACCATTCAAAATATTATAAGCAAACTGATAACATAATGCCAAACAAAATTAGATTCAATACATCATGAAATTACATGCAAAAGTTGGAAAGCAATTTATAAGACATATTTTCATTACTTCAATATTTTTCCTAGGAAAATTTTCATTAAATTGAAATCATGTACACCTATACTCATACAAAATATCATGGGAAATTGTAATGGGTGGATAGTGGTTTGTTCTAATGTTTTTTGGTTAATTGGTTCATAATGACACTATTTGGATTAAATCTGCATTCCAAACCTCTTCAGCATGCCATTTTCAATTCTTATCTTTCTTTTATATGCATATGAACTTAACAATAACAGAAATTTAGAACATGAACTACATGCAAATGTTTGATACCTTATTATCAGCATGAAATCTAATGGCTAAAGCTGTATAGAGACGCTGTATAGCTGATGCCCTCACATTCCTACTATGCATAACCATGCCATACACAGTGGCAATTGTAGCCAGCTTGGACTCGGCAGATGCAGCATCACCTATTACAAGAAAAAACACATATACTGCATCATGTTTACGTAAAATTACAATACAGCCAGCAGGTGCTGGAAATATTTCTTTTACAATATGTTGAAATGACATCCAAAACTTCATGATGATAGCTACTTGATTATTTACTTGATATTGTCCAAATAATTTAAATTTAATTTAAATTAAAAAAAAAATCATTGAATATTGGGGGATATCATCAAACATTTGTAAATGAGATAGTGAATAAGATTTTGTTAATGTCATTTAAATTATATTTTGTCAACTTTTATTTCTACAAATTTATCAAATAATATAGGGTTTAGACAAAGGCCTCTACAAATAAAAGGAATTAGATTACTCCAACATATATATATATATATGTACATGCATGTATCATGTGTATATTTAACTTGCCATGTACTCACCTACAGCACATGATAGCAATGATAAGAAATCAGGACAGATCCTCTTCATTTCCAAAATGATTTCGGTAAACCAGTTTTTCTCCATCAAGTCACCTGGATCCTTATTGAACAGAAGACTATGACCAGGTTTACATACACTCTGCAACTGTTTGCCAATGCTTTGACAATATGTTGGAACATTTTCCTGAATGTCATGCAGTATCGATTCAGGTGATGAAAACTGTTCTTGATTCGCAACTTTCCCTGAATGCCTTTTTGTGTACTGGTGATCCACACCATTAAACTGCAGCTGTACTCTACTTCTCGACACACCTGTACGGGTTTTGCACTCCCCATCTTCTATCCTCATCCGTTTTAGTTTTTCAACTGATCTCTCGATCTGACTCGCCACAGATCGACTAGATGGACTAATAGATAGTTTTAGTAACGATGGTGGGGTTTTTGCTTGACGCTTCGTCCTACATACAGACTTCTTATTTTCTTCTAAATTCTTTACACTTTCTGTTTTAAATTTCAGATACTTCTCACAAGTGTTTACACAAGGGTCACACACATGCATCAAATCAAACACCTCCAAGTCAAGTTCAACACTTAGACAATCTTGAATAATGTCTTTAAAGTTTGCATTTACTGCCTTATTTTTTGATAAAACATGTAACCTCCGTGTGTCACTGTTACAAAGCATACACTTCTTGAAACACACATACGTCTTGACAGGTGTCACACCTGCTACGGACGCTGCCATCAGTTTAATGTCACCAACATTTTAGAGTTCAACATACGGTATTACATGGTATACATAACTTGAATTATTAATTCTTGATTTGAATATGATACAGATATATTTAACTTATAACGAATGATAAATCATGGGTACGTTCTCCAAACTCTCGAGTGCTGACCCGCATGAGAAATCGTTGCTACGGACGCCGTCTGCTTTCAGAGAAACCATCTTGAAAGTAGTTCCGTCAAGATGGATGCTTACGTCATACATCCGAGGTTAGATGACCGTATCGGCCGAGAAGTTCCGAGTGCCTCTTTACCCTCAATAAAACATCCGACAGTCATCTTATCCGAAAAGAAAAAATATGGCAGCCCCCATGATAAACAGTCTTACTGCAAACTTTTCAAGGTATTATATCGACACCAAACTCTAAGTTGGAAATAATTACGTTCTGCTGCTCAAAACTCCGCACGTATTTTGTTAAATATTTAAATATATGATAAAAGGATATGATGGGATTATTGTCAGCAAAGAAATCGGGCATTTGAAATTGAAGGTCGTTAAGTTACATACATGACAAACGGTACGCTCAGAGACGCATAAACAGAACGTATACATTAAAGTCTGCGTTTGTACTTCTCTGAGTTATCTGGCCGGGTAAACCCAGTGTATACGAAGGGAAGGGTTAGACTACGTTGAGTTAACATATAGTGCCCCTTAAACAGTTAAACATGTTGGGCACACCGGCGCATATGGGTAATAATCCTGCTTTTGGGTAACAGTTACCCGTTTGCAGTAACAATTTTAATATGAATTAGGCGAGACCTAAACAGCTGGCACACATACACATGAAATTACTGTTTCCTACATAATTTAACAGTAACATTTTATGTACTGTCAGCAGAGTGAACATCCAGTCCTCGCATAATTTAATGGATGTACCACTATATTATATTCGTGGGAAGGTGGTTAAGGTGGGTCCATCCTTCTCAAATTTAGCGACACTGCGCAGGAAGCTGCGCATGTTGGCTAAATTTCAGTATGATTTACGGTAACCTAACGACACCACGCTTGGATTTAAAAACTGTTATCGACAATTATTAACAACAATTAAGAACGTCAAAAAAAATGAAAACTATCCAGTCCGACCATCTTTTATATTTAAATAATCTTATTTAATGTGATATTGAACTCTCGTAAATAAGAACGAAAGTCGTTTACACCGGAAGTTTACTATCTCAGCTGATGACAGCGATATGACAGCTGCTGAGGATGAAGTCTGAAAGTGAAAGAATATGTGCTTTCCTTTGTTATTGCTCACTTATCTACATGTTGAATAGAACAAACGATCATCAGAGTTTATCATCACTTGAACGGAATAGGTAATTTCGTAGGATGGAAGAATTATGACCGTTACCCATCACACTGACTGCTACACTTCTCTACTCTACTGAACAGCTGATCATGAAGGTCTCGACGTTGAACGTTTCATTCGAAGCATTACAGCAATTCCGTCTTGACTGTTGACAGAGATTTTGTTCAGAAATAAATAATAAATGGCAGTGTAAACAGCTTGAAGTGATCGTCTGCAAACTGCAACTTAAAACAAATGTTTCGAGTCATCGTCAATGACCCCAAGGACCCTTACCGAACCGACACGAGTAGACGAGTTTCCACAATGAGGTAAATATATAGTGTCATACTATATAGTGCACAGGCGTTTGAGCAGATTGTTAGATTGCTTACTTTTTTATCATACTCTCAGCAAACCCCTGACCAAACTTTTTTTCACGTAGGACATCAGTGCGTTGCTGTGTACCAGTTGGG